CTGCTATTTCTGCCAGTTCTGGCTCCTCAGAATCCAATTTCCTTCCCTCTTCTACGCCTGCTAACATCTCCACTACTTCCACTACTGCTTCATCTTCTTCAAATTCACCTCCAGTCATACCTCCTAATGTTCATCCCATGACCACTTGCTCAAAAAATGGGATTATTCAACCCAGAATTAACCCTACACTTTTGTTGTCTAATGTCGAACCAAAAACGGTCAAAACTGCTCTTACTGATCCTAATTGGCTTGCTGCCATGCAAGCTGAAATCACTGCCTTACATGACAACCGTACATGGACATTGGTTGAATTACCTTCTAGCAGGCTACTGAATCAGCCTCTTCTTTTGTTTTTTTTTTTTTTTTTAACAATGTTACACATATCATTGACTTTCATATTATTATGGACTATCCTTTTAAATAAGATTTAGAATTTGAGTATTATAAAAAAATATATAAAAAAATAGTTTGAACAAATGAAAAAATGTATTTGGAATGGAGAGACCTCATTAAATCTGTGGTGTGATTAAGAAGGAAATAATTTATTAATGAATTGTAATTTGTTTTCTCTAATTTGGTAATTTACAATTATTGTGTTGGATCATTGTATTTGATTTGTATAACATCTCAAAATTTTTAAAATAAATAATGTAATAAATTAGTATAATTAGAATGTTATAAGGGAAATATTTATTAGTAAAATAAAATGGGGAGAATTCATCATAAGATTTTGGACTAGGATTTGGATCCAATTCGGAGACTAGTCCAAAAAAGGAAAAATAGATAAGGGTTAGGTCATTAAGCATATTCTAAAAACTTTGAGTGTTCACAGGAGGAGACTTAAAAGAGAATACCAAGGAAGTACATATCAACGACAAGAGCCCTAAGTCCCATAGGTTGTACGTTTATGTTATGATATATGTATGAGTACCTTTGTGACTCTGTTGATACTTTGATGATGGATTTGGTATGTTGTTATGTTTCATCTATTTGAATGATGAGTTGGTATTGTTGAATGTTAGGAGGAATTTGAATGATATTGTATGGATTTTGATGATTAACATTGTTTTGCATGCTTATTGAGTATGTATTTGTTAATTGATTGATAAGATGGAATGTATTAAATTGCTATGTTGATATGAATGTTGGATGAGAAGAAAAGTGCAATCACATATTTGTGGAGTGCATATTCTACTACCTTGTTCGGCATGAAGATGGTCACTTTGGTCACAAGTTTGATAAAGAGGTCCCAAACCTTTTAGCATTGGGTGTGAGGTGATACACCCAATGCCATTTGACATTGATTTCATGAAGAAGGTGATGAAAACATGTCAAGGCTACGGAGACCAAGAGGTGATATATTAAAGAAACCAAGAGGAATGAGATGATTTTAAAGATCTTTCATATGTTTGTAAATATAGTAGTTACTTGTATAGGTTTATTTTGCCTTTGTATTTGTGAGGCACTTTGTTTCCTTTTTATAGACCATTGTATTGTGAATTTAGAGTAGGTTATTTTGAGACTTTTACTCCATTTGACCTTGTATTAAAGGTTATTCATTTTTACTTTTTTAGTAGTAGAAGTGGGGTGACAATTAGCAAGGTGTATAAGTGTACCTAGCAAATGGGCCAGAGTTGGGCCTAGGCCAAATTTTACATATTAAGCTTGTTTTGTTTCATATTTTTTAAGGAATTGATTTAGCTAGGTCTCACCATCATTTGGTGAACCTAACTAAACCAATTCCATGATTTTTGGATTGGACTTAGTATGGAACCAAGCCCATAGCTACCCACCCTTTCTCCTTGGCCAAATTTGTTTGTCTCTCTTAGCACATTGGAGAAGCTTGTGCTACAAGCTTCTAACTTAGCTTGCTTCCCAAGCAAGCTAAGATAGAAGCTTGCTCCACAAGCCTCCTAAACTAAGGTGGACGGTCAAGCTAAGCCAACCATGGTTCACTTGAACCATGATTAAGCTTATCTTCCTCCATAAGCTACCTACTTCTATATATTCCTAAACCTTTCATTTGTAATCACTTTTGAGCATATGAATTCAGAATTTTTCACTAAAATTCTTTCTCTCAAGAGTCCTAATTCCGTGGAGAAGAAGCTTCTCCCCTAAGCTTCTCAAGAAAGGAATTCCTCCTTCGTTCTTTGGTTCCTCAAGTTACTTCCTCTTCAAGGAAGAAACCGAACCCCTTATGTTGCTTCAACAAGCCTTGGAGCTTGTGGTTTATGCTTCCGCCATTATGAAGCGAAGACCTCAAGAGAATAAGGACGTGAAGGTGGAGAGTGAAGGAGAACATCAATAATTTCTTCAAGCATTTCCATTAGAAGGTGATGTTGGATGCGACCCAAATCATGTCGAGCGAGAAGGTACTAAGGATGTACCTGACTCCTCGACACCGAGCATGACCTAAAGCACGTTTGACGAGATTGAGACAAAAAGGTTCCAAACCTTTTTATGTCGAGCACGGGTGACCCCACGCTAGGCATGAGTTTGACAAAGATATTTCTAACCTCTTTATGCTAGACATGAATGCATTATTATTAAGCGTCATGCCTTTTTCCTAATCGAGACGCTTGCTTTGATAATTAAAGTATTAATTGAGAAACATTGAGGAGGGTTGATAATGCATAGAAAATGAAGGAATTAGTGAGTATTGACGTGTATGTTATAGAATATGATGTTTTATACTTATAATGATACTATGATATTGATAATATGTGACGAGTGAATGATGAGAATGCATGATAATGATGTGTGAATGATATTTATGTGGTGTAATGTTGAGTTGTGATGAAACATACTATAAGGCGATATGGTTGAGTTAATGTGATGTGTTGTTGAGATGTGATGAGATATGGTCAAGTCGATATGATGTAAAATTGAGATGTGATGATATATGCTATGATGAGTATTGGTGACGATATGAAATGAATAAGTTCAGTGTTGAGGGCTAGCACTCAAGGAGTTGAGAATGCATTTTAGTTGTTGAATTGATTGTTGTCAGTCCATGCACTTCATGCTTTATTTCGTGACATAATGTGAGTTTATGCAAATGGGATATCATAAGTCATCTACCTGTGTCCTATGGGTGCTATGGTAGGGAAAACTATCGGGAATAGGAGGTTACCATGGCCAATTGTAACACTTCAACAATACTCTGATATATATCCCTTAATTGAGGTGGTTTAAAAGAGATCATTATTGATAGGTGGTCCCTATACCATTTGATGGGGCAGTTTTGTTCCATTACTCTTAGGTTATCGTGTATTCTCAACGATGATGGTGAGGAGATTGATACCATATGCATATAAAGTTGGGAACATCCATTGCACGAGTCTTATTTGTAATTGATGCATGTTGTATGGCTTGTTGGTATGAATGGTGAATGAATGTACGAAGTTATTGTTGATGTAGGGAATGATGTTTATATGAGTGTGAGACATTGTTGATGTTATAGATGTGTTTGTTTACCTTTACGTTTCATATATGTTGTTTATGGATGAAATGTATTCTCACTCCTTATATTTGTATGTTTGTGTTTTGGCTAAACGTCATTTGCAAAACCATAACAGGTACATGATGATGTGTTTGAGGTGGGATAACTATAAAGAGGAATCTTGTATGAATAATGTGACATCGAGACTAAGTTTAAGGATTAGTAGTTGTTTAGTAGTTAAATTTTCCATTTAACTGTATTTTATTATCGGAACTTTATTGATTAAGAGGTTATTTTTATTAAAACTATTTTGTATATTTTTTTTAGTGGCAAATAAAGTTATAAATCCTTTTACAAGTTTTAATGAAAAGAGTTATTATAATTTTTATTTATTTATTAAATCTTTTGGGATAAAAGGGTGTCTCAATTTGGACATGTAATGTTATTAAATCAATTGTGTACTTTTCTCTATGTAAAACATGAATAATTTGTAATTGATTAGTGTGAATTAAAGACTTATGATGATGCTTGAAGGGTTCTAAATCTTGTTTAGAAACACATAATTGAAAACATTAGCGTATTTAATTGAGCATGAATGTGTTGACAAGGAACATGATCGTGTTCAATGTGAGCATGATTGTGTTGAGTGTATTAAGCATAATCAATATCTATCTTGTACAATTAAACCTTATATATCAAACATAAAATATAATCAATCATTTTATATTAAATACAAACTTTTATCTTACACAATGGTATTTTTAAGAATTTATCTTCAATAAGGAAGTTTGTAGGATTTTTTTTTACTTCTTATCTAATTTGATATTTATTTATCATAATTTTTTTAATAAATTATGTATTAATATTTTAAAATAAACTATTAATAATTAAAAATATTTTTTGTTACAATACAAATTATCTATCATAAATATAAAATATAAATGATATATTTAAAAATATTTATGTAAACTAATTTTAAATATAATATACATTCAAATACAATATTTTTAATTAATAATTATAATATAACTAATACTTTTTATCTTATATATTTTGCATACAAATATTTGTTTTATATAACTAAAATTTATAATAAATTATATATACACAAATATATATTATATTTGAATATGTAAATTATATTTAAATTTTGTATAGATAAATATTTTAAATATATAAATTATATTTTATATTTAAGATAAATAATTTATATTATGATATAAAATTATTTTTAATTATCAATAATTTATTTTAATAAATATATATGATACATAAAAATTTAAATTAAATAAAAATTAAAAAATTCTTATAAACTCTCATACTTTATATTTAATATATAGAATTAATATAAATATTTTTTTTATGATGATTATGATAAAGGTTATCCCAATATAAATATTAATATCTAAAATTGACATAATTATAAAAACAAAATTACGAAAAAGAAAAAGAATAACACATAGAGCAAAGTGGGGTCTTACTCTTGCGCACCCTACCCATGGGATGGGTTATTATATATTCGTTTTGAATTTGGTGTTAGCATGGGCGATTAGTCCTCACGCGCATGCAAGGGCGGGATCTTTGGCGCTTAAAACGAAAGACAAACGTTTCTTACACTCACACACTTGACACTACTCCAATTGCCCTCCCTTCGTTCCTCAATTCCTCATGGACGAGCCCTCGCTGCAACTCGTCTCCGAAATCGCAACTCGCCTCGCTGAGCGAACTCGTCCCAACAAAGACTTCATCCTCAAATCCCTCCGAGTAAGTTTTCTCTCCCCACGCATTCTGCAACCATCGCATGCTTTTGACCTAACATAGCCTCACGCCGCCTTTTGCGCTGTTTTTTCTTCTTCGAAATCGACGATTTATTAAGATGTTTCGCGTTTGTCATTTCTATGGTTTGTGTGCGTTGAAGTAGGTTGTAATCGAATTGTTAATAGATTTCTGAATGTGCGAGAATTCGTAATTGATGTTCTGATTCATCAGTCTCTGGAATTATCACAAGAGGTTGAACTTGGTTACATGAGGGTTAGTTAGATGGTTGCTACTCATTGAATAATTAGTTACTTTTCTATGAGTATTATATCAGTCACTTTGTTGCTCGTCTGTAATTAATTTGAGTTTCTTCTCTACAATGTTTTTGATACTGTTGGTCACTTAAGATGCTGGTATGCTGCGTGAATTATTATTATTATTATTGTGTTTTGCAGCAAGCCACAGATGCTTTGTCCGAGTTAAAACAGTCTCCTCAGCCTAAAACGGCCAAAGAAGTAAAGGCTTCTAAGAAACGAGAAGCTGCTTTGAAGTCCTTGGCAAATGCTGTGGTTTCCGGTGGTCTACTTCAACATGCAGATAGGGATGTTAGGCTTAGGGTTGCTATTTGCGTCACTGATCTTTTTAGACTTATGGCACCTGAACCGCCTTTCGAAGACAAGCATTTGAGGGTATCCATTATGTGTAGCATAGTTGAAATATGTGCAGTTTTCCTTTCTCCCCTTTTTGTTGCCTGTTTTGTTTGCAAGCCCTTGAATGCTTTAATTTAATGCTATTTTAATTATTTATTTATTGTGCTGACTGCAGATGTTTCTTTTTCTTGATTTCAGGATGCGTTTAAGCTTATAATTAGTTTGTTTGCGGATTTAGCTGATACTGCCAGTCCATTCTTTTCTAAAAGGGCTAAAGTATTGGAGACTGTGGCTCAATTAAGGTGTTGTGTGATAATGCTGGAGATAAACTGCATAGACCTGGTTCTTGAGATGTTCAATACTTTCTTCTCGGTTGCAAGGTTGAGATCTACCCCCCTCGCGTCCTCCTTCCTTGTGCTTAGCTGTTTTACTGGATTGTTAAGCTTGTTATGTTTTCCAAGGGGAAGAATCCTATTAGCTTTTGTTAGATTCATTGAAGTTCAGTGTTTGACTTGTGTGACAAAATTGTAGGTTTTAGCCTATAATGGGTTTGTTATATTATCTATTTGCCCTTAATAATATTAAATTTATGGAATGCAGCTGTTAGTGGGACTTGGGAGGTTGTAGTTTAGTAACTGTAATTGTTATTTCTTGTGGAGCAGCTGTCCTTAGTAATTGAAGAAAAATGCAGTCCATTTATGATTGTTGATTTTCATGGAAGCGTCAATGACACCCAATCCACTTCACCTTTTGTTTTTTTTGCAGAGATGAACACCATGATAGTTTGATCAGGGCAATGATTTCTATAATGATAAACATTTTGAGTGAGAGTGAGGGGGCATCTCAGCAACTATTGACAGTGATTTTACGAAATATTGTAAAGCAAAAACAAGTAAGTTCCTTTATTTTTTTAATCTTAATTTTTTTATACACAGTACACACACACACACATATATATTCCTAATATATTTTCACAATAATGAAGCATGCAACGAAGCTTGTTGTGATTAAAGGTCAAATATTGAGTGTAATGCATTTTCATTTATTTCCCTTTTTTTTTATTTGTTTTCAAGATTGTTTTTAAACGCAGTTACTGTTCACCAGACTCCTATTTCTGCATTTTATCATTCTCCCAGTATGTCTGAAGATAAGACAGCCCCTGTTTTGAGTACCAACGATTTACAGGTTCTGCAAAGCCCTTATTGCCTTGATGGGTGAAATTATTTACAGTGGGCTCAATTGGTTCGCACAACCCTCAAGGGACGAAAGAAGTTGAATCACATTGAAGGAGACCCTCCAGCCAAAACGGACCCAAAATATGAAGCTTGGGATGATGAAGACTCTCTAATCATGACCTGGCTGTGGCATTCTATGACATCGGAGATCAGCCGAAATTGCATGTTTTTCTCCAATGCGAAGGAAATTTGGGAGAACCTTAGAAAGACATATTCTATGAAGAAGGATACTGCAGCGTGTTATGACATAGAGAGCAAGATCTTTAATACCAAGCAAGGGAGTCTTTCAGTAACAGATTACTACGGAACATTGAATGGTTTGTGGATTGAGTTGGATCAATATCAGAATTTGAAAATGAAGTGTACAGCTGATTCAGACACACTAACAGAATTCCTAGAAAGGGTGCGAGTCTTTAAGTTCCTACATGGACTAAACTCAGAGTTTGATCCGATTCGGGTTCAGATTTTGGGTAAGAATAAACTTCCTTCTCTCTCGGAGGTGTTCCACATTGTACGAGGTGAAGAAACTCTGAGGTCAGTTATGTTGGAAGAAGGCAGTTCCATTGATGGTTCAGCCTTGGCTACGAGTAAGGGTCCTCTAGATGGTTCAGCCTTAGCTAGTGGCAAGGGTCCTGTAAAAGGCTCTTCATCTGGAAGGCCACCAATAAAAGCTGGTCGTGATGATCGGTGGTGTAGTTATTGCAGGAAGACGGTCCATACTAAGGAGACATGTTATAGGCTCCATGGGAAGGAGAAGGTCCTTGAGCGAACTGGAGGGTTCAAAGGGCTTACACAACGACGTGCTAATCAAGTAACATCTGACCATGAAAGTGCCCCATCTATCCCACTAGCAGAAAATGAGGTACTAGCTCTCAGCAAAGCAGAGTTAGAACGCCTAAGGGCTCTTATGGACTCTCTTAGTAAGACATCTAGTTCTTGTTCCTTAACCATGACTGGTAAAAGTTCTAGCTTCTTATCCTTTAATGCTTCTAATACTGAGAATATATGGATTATAGACTCTGGTGCTACTGATCATATGACACCTCATTCTCCTTATTTTTCATCCTATACCACTTCATCTGGTAACCAACATATCACTGTTGCTAATGGTTCTCATACCCCTGTTATTGGTTGTGGCAACATTCAACTTCAATCTTCCCTCCTTTTAAAAAATGTGCTTCATGTTCCACAACTATCTAACAACCTCTTGTCTATTCATAAGATCACCCAAGACTTAAACTGTGCAGTCACTTTTT